GGAAGCATTTGCACGGCTACTACTACCAAAAAGTCCACCCAAGAATAGACCAACCACGACGATGGCTCAGAGGTTACGAAAATGTCAGTAACACTAATATCCACTCATCCGCTCTGCCAGACTCTCACTGCCCGGCCCTTCCCGGTTCCTGGCCCAGTTAAACTAGTGCGTCTGTTCTGAGCTACCCCCTCAAAGAACATAGCAGCTAACTTGGAGCAAACCCACTTTTGATTGGTTTCGGGCCGTCCCAATACTGTACCTGGACACAATACTATTTAGGTATTTGTTCCGTATCTGGGCGTACCGAAATCCGATTCTGAAAGACGAAAGCCCGGCTGCGGAAACTCTTTTGCAGCAAAGGGTTGCGAACATCGCCTGGTATTCTTGGATCCGGACAAGGCAAAATGCTATGTCCTCTGCAAGACTTAGTCCCGAGCATCCAGTGGACCCAAGGTCTTCCTGTGCCAACTGTCAGAGAGCCTGGTAAGAAGTAATGCCGCCTGTTCAATCTTTGCTTCCATCACTTCGACGACACAGCGGCGGCGAAAGTGCTGGAAAATGTAATCAAATCCTTCGATGCATTTGTGTAAGATAGTTCCCCCTTAATCTGGCAGAATCTTTGAAATATCCTATTACATAGCCTTAGCCTTTCTTTAACACTATTTTCATTGTCTTATCTCCTCTACTACAATATTATTATAGTTCTAGGGCTCACCACTCCACATAATTCTTACCTATATCTTTCTGCTAGGTGTAGTTATTCTTTGTAGTTAATACTTAATAGCTATGTGTCATACATCTGCATTTAGATATAGGAGGAGATCACTACCTAGATCCAATAGTAAAAGGATCTAGATACAAGTGGTTAGGAGTTTAGTAGTACCGTAGTAGTAAGAACATGGTTCTACCTCTATTTAGGAAGATATACTAGTATATTACGACTAGGGAGAAGGGTCTATCAAAAGGGATGTTATCTAGTGTAGAGGCTTAAGTCTAAGTATATATCTGGTAATTAATAATAGAAAATATATCTCCTTTTCTGGTAGCAATTCCCCTTGTTGCTAGTAGAGTTTTTGTAGAAAAGAGACTATACTGGATAGTATAGCCACAGTTACACTAATCACTTATAACTAATATCATATCAATCACTATGCTGCAGCACTACTCGCTGCTTAATTAAGATCAAGAGCACCGGTTAAGGTTGAAGCTCAGATCCAGAAGCCTTATGGAACAAGTACCCCAGTCATAGCGCTGATGCAAGTCAATGGATGGCAAGTGGTGATATTCGGCGGAAGAGCGGAAGAGCGCTTGTTCTTCTGTTGAAGGCTGCTGGATCCTTGTGGCACTGAGCTATGTTCCTATGTAGTTACAGTGTTACAGCTTATAGTGCCTGAGCTCTACTCTAGCTTCAAAATGTATACCATCTAATTGCATTACTGCTAGAAGATGTCGCGGACAATACTATACATCTGGATATACCTCCAAACTCCATCCAGGCAGTGAAGCAGCCTCAGATAATTCCAAGAATTATCCACCAGACCTTCAAGAACCAGACCATCCCGCAGGCCTGGCGGGCTGCTCAGCAGAGTTGTGTCTATTAAGTTAGTAGGTCTTATAGAGAGTACTTAACTAGAGTATTATGTCTTAGGCAACTAGCATCTAATTAGATATCTAATTAATCGGTTTAATCATTAATACCACCAACTTAACTATATAACAATCACTCCGCATCAGCTCCATGACATGTTTTGCATCCTAAGGGCATTTATAAATATCAGCAATAGACTATTATAGATAAGACTGTCTCCTTTTTTCCAAGGTGATCTAGTGGGCAGTGTGCATATTGAAGCATTTTAGCATACCGTATACGATGGGCACGTTCTTTGACCAAGCCCAGTCGCCAAATTCGCCCGGCATTCTAGTCATCACCTCTGCACACATACCCAGTTTTTTGTGAGGACATATCACAATGGAAGTTTTTCGCTGTCCCAGATGATGTCACTTCCTTGACGGTGGTCCATTAGGTTAGAAGAGCCCTCAGTGTCATCTGAGGTCTTCCTGATGCTGCACATATTTTGACCCCGGTCCTTGAGAGACAAAAGGTATCCTAGACTGAGGCAGGCATACCTCGAGAATGCCAGGAATACCAGTTTTCCTTAATTTCTGTGGCAGTGAAGAAGTACAACAGCCTAGAGACTGCTGCAAGCATATCACAGCCGAGGCGTATACCAGCCTGCACGTTTATATTCGGTGTCCACATGGAATTTAGAGATGAATAGGGGATCCAGAATTATGCTGATCAGAACCTTGACAGCGCTGATCAAAAGGGAAACATCAGGCTTATCCAGGGCACTTGTGGCGTTAGAAACGGCAACTTGAATGGCGGAGCTCAAAGCTGAGAAGGCGCGAATGTGGGTGTAAGATATGCTAGTCATCTGAACATTGCGCGGGAAGAAACTTTGCCGCGCTTGCAATGATAATATCCATGATTATTCCAAGTGTGGTCTGAAAGAGTACGAAGGTATGCGCTAACCCCAGACGAGATTCAAGAGATTGAGTCCCTTTATCCGCGATGGTTAGCCATACATGGGAGAGACCTTCATTCAGAACTTCCGTAATGGTGCCGGTGTAAGCGTAGATGTCAGTTGTGGGTCGGGTACCCATTGGTTTCAGATATTATTGAGGGCTCATCAATCAACTGATTCGGCCAACGCAACCAATCCGCCCAGGAAGGCCCCAAGTAGCCCTTGACGGAAGATATAATATACAGACCTCCGTCACCAAATGTCCACATCTCACGGTGCAAGTGCAAAAGGGCACCGAAGTAGGAGAGGATGACGAGTGCTTCGGGGCGGCGCTCTGATAAAAAATCTATGTACTGATCAGGGATTATGACCGGCCAGGACAGGATGGGGCCAATTGTAGATAGTTTCGAGGGGTGCGTGCGGCTCCCATTGATTGCCTTCTGCAGGTACTCGATTGCTTGTCGGTATATGTCTTTCATATTTGGATTAAGGGGGCTGCTGTCTATCCGAGACATGAGCTCGAGGCACTCCTGCTCGGTCACTTCTTGGTTCAAGGCATCCTCTTCGCCTTCGAGTACGGACTTAAGAGGTGATTCCCGAAGCAAATGCCAGGACTGGTTGGTGACAGCACGGACGCCCCGATGCAGCCGAAGGGACTGGATGAAGTCATCGAGAAAATCTTCAAAGGCGTCTGCGCAGTATACCAGCTTCTCGCTGAGCATGTGCAGTGCGAGGATGGAGGAAAAGAGAAACATGGGGATGCAGGTGTCGGGAGTGAGATCCATGTTTGCACCGTTGAATTCAGATAACGCATGAGTTTGTAGCTGGGCTGCGTGGTATCTGTAAAATTTCTGCTGGGGTGGTCGCATAACGCTCAGATGCAATGCAGCGAAGGCGAGGATTTGGTTCATCAGGAACGGAGCGGTCAATATAATTTTGGTCATCTCGATAGTAGAGCATCCATCAGAAAGCCTTTCGAAGCCAAAGTCTGTCAGGATCTCGGAGATGAAGTGGTGGAATAACTCTAGATGCAGCTTGTTGACTGGCAGGCTATCGTCGGCTGTCCCAGCATCAATGGAGCTGCTTGGTGGTGAATTGACAGACGTTTTATCGACGCCCTTGGGACCACGCGACGTTGATAACTTCGGGGGCGATTTTACCAAAGTATATGCTTTCGACACCAGATCTTCATACGAGCAGTGACGATTTGAAATACTGCAGTTCGCACATATTGGACGGCTCTCATCGCACTGGCGCGTAGTGTCAGCTTCGGTCGATCCCTGCGAATCTAAGTTTGTACTGCGAGAAATACCTTGATATGACGGCGCTTGCATTCGATGCAGCCATTCCTGGACTTCCTATGGGGTCTCCTGGGATGGACCATGCTTCTGGTGTTCATAACTGCGATTGAAGTGCGCTGACAAACTCAAGGGGCTGAACTTAAAGCTAGCTTGTAATTAGTTTTAGACCGAAAGGCGGATAGAGCAATTAAGGGGGCTAGTACTGTAGGTAGTGCCTGGTTTCTAGCCCTGAGAGGTCTCAGCCTTTCTACTTCTAGAAAAACAGACTTTCTAATAGACTTTCTAATAATATAGAAGAATATTATTAGAGTCAACCCTAATTTTTCTTTTTGGATTTCTCAACTCTGCTGATTCAGCAGATAGGCTACGCGACTGAAGGCTACAAACCCTATACTATCTACTTTTACCCTAACACCATGGTTACATCTCCTGTAAACTCACATGCTGGTCATCGGGTAAGCTCTTCGCAGCTAGGATCTTCCCTGGATGATAAAAGTGAAAGATCGCCTGCACAAAGAACATCGGAATCATGTCGAAGATGTACATAAAAGCCTCATGCGAATATAGAATTTTAATCATCCTGACCACCGACATTGCCTATCTGGCTCTGCTGTAGGAGGGAAGGCGTTTCAGCTGGGCCCACAGCAAAGTGGACCTGCAGACATTTACTAGTATACTGAACGTTGGATCTTGAAAAAAACCTATTGCGTCTCCGTCTTTGAACATGGAATTGGGCCAATTCCCATGCTCCAACTTCCAGCTTCCAACGGCATGCCATGGCGATCAGATCTGCATACTCCGTATACGCGGAACAGGAGAACTGCTATTGGCTGGACGCATCCGCGGAATTGGCGACATCCGATTGGTTAATTTGATAGAAGCCTAATTAAGGCTGGGTTAACATCAACGTCGCTCTCCTATATCCACCTCGCGCTACTGTATATTACCTGACGCTTCGAGGAGTATTTCAATATTAGAGGATCACGTCAGCCCCATTATCCCCGTATGTGTACTGCTTTTATATTACGCGTGCCCTTTACTTGGGGATAATAAATACTTTGCGCAAGATATATATTACCCTTCACAGCCAACTTTAAAACAGTAATTTACAGCGCGTTAAGCAATGACAACGTGAAGAGAGATTGCCGGAGGGTCTATGAGAGTATAGCGTCCCCTATGTCAGCTTCACCAGGGTTGAAGAACGCAGATCTCTGGAGCTGAAGCCCACGCTGAGCTGCAATTGACCCTCCGGAATCCTCCAATTCTGATGTACAGTGTCCCAGAAGCTGAGATCGCGGCGTCGGAGAGAGAAATGAATATTTTCCTGCTGTGCTGGCTCCAGAGTCACTTTCTCGAAGCCACGGAGAACCCTCACTGGAGTTCCTGGTGGCATAGAGTCGCGCGGGTAGGAGAGGTAAAGTTGGACAACAGTGGCGCCGGATACATCCCCGGTATTTGACACCGTTGTTGTGACGTGAAGCAGGTCGGCCCAAAGATCCGGGTTGCCGCCTGCATGGCTGGTGTTGTGCGAGGCGGGTGTCGACAAGGCGGAGATCCCGCGCTTTGCTGCATCGGTATACTGGACGGAGACATTAGACACGATATCAAAGGTCGTGTAGCTGAGACCGTAGCCAAATTCGTACAGCGGGGCGATGTTGTGCGCATCGAAATGCCGGTAATCGATCATCAATCCCTCGGTGAAATTGACTTGCCACGCGTCGGAACGAGCAGCTGCTGGGCCGCTTAGATTGAGAATAGGGGTGTTATAGTCAGAGCTGTCCCTTGCGATTGTGTAAGGTAGCTTTCCCGAAGGGTTCACATTTCCCCATAGGATGTCAGTGATGGAATTTCCAGACTCTTGCCCAGGGTAATGCGCAGCGAGGATGGCAGTGACGTTCTCATTATCTGCCCAGGGCATTATATTCACACCACCCGTGTGTGTGATAACGACGGTTCTGGGACAGATAGAGGCAACATTATTGACGACGAGAGTGGAATTCCAGTCTGCTTCTAGACTCTGCCGGTCAATTCCTTCCTGGGCCCAGGTCTTGAGGAAAACCAAGCAAATATCAGGCCGAGGGTAGATGCTGTTAAAGTTCCCCTCCGCAATGAGGTTGTTGTCTGTGAGATAGACCACGCGAGAGCCCTCATCCCTTGCGCGTGCTTTGATGGCCTCGAGGGGCGAAATAATGTAAGAGGAACGGCCGCTGCCTGACCCGCCGCCGACGACGAGGGTCCCAATCTCAGACCCGTAGTTGTTGTTCGGGTAAAGAAGACCTCCAGTGACGTCTGGGGCATCGTTACCGAAGACTCCAATGACCGCGGCTGACCGAATTGGAAGTGTTTTGTTCACATTTTTCAACAACACAGTGCCTGCCGAGCCTATTTCGCGGATCAACAAAGAGTGATTACCCCGAACATCTCGACCCGCTGGTGTGGCCTCACCAGCAGGAAGGATACCGTAGGTTGCTGCGGTCACCGCGTAAGAGGATGGGTCTATTGTAGGGTACTCATGGTCCTGGCTGAAATAGTAGTATGGCGTCAGGATTCGACGGAGCATTTCATTCAACCGCCATTCAGGAATAGTTCCATTACGAATACCAGAAACCACATTGGTTCCAAAGTACGAATGGGTGAAATCAGTCTCCGATAGATAGCCGGGCATATTTAGGTCTAGGCCGGCGTTGATGGCGAAGGGTCCAGAATGCGTCGCAAAAAAGTCCGACATAACGTACCCTTGGAAGCCCAGCTCATCTCTCAGAATTTTCTTGAGGAGCGAAGAATTTTCGCAGGAATACGTCAGGCTGACTCTGTTGTAACTGCACATCATTGATGCAACACCAGCCTTGACGGCATCTGCAAACGGCCAGAGATAGAGCTCATGCAGAGTTCTGTCATCGATAATGGCTGAGACACCGGCAACGTCTACCCCATTAATTTCAGAATTCGTACGATGTGTTTCTTGTTCGTTGCCAATATAGTGTTTGGCACAAGCCTGCACACCAACAGCCTGCGCGCTGCGGATAGTCTCCTGCATGGCAACGCCTGAGAGATAAGGATCAGGGGAGAACCCTTCCCAGTTACGTCCTCCCCATGGGCTGCGCCCGAGGGGACCGGCCGAGGGACTAGATAGAGCCTCTGTTAGCTCCACGTCCTATCCTCCACGAATAAGTCGACTCACCCAAGCATGACATTGGCACCTTTGCCGCGAAACTCGGCTCCCATCGCCTGCCCTCGCCGCCCAATTAGCACTCTATCCCATGTGGCTGCTGCAGTCAACCCCGAGGGAAAGACGCTGGCCAGATCTGCGAGGTGCAGGCCCTGCGGCCCATCAGACAAGCAGAGCCCTCCAAAACCGACACGTTCAATGGGAGCGATGTTTCCGATGCAGCTTCCATTAGCCGTGCCGGTGACAATCGACGCCTTCTCTGTTAGGCTTATTTGCGCAATGAGATTATTTGCTTTGGCAAGCGCGGCATCCCATTGAGTTGCATTGATTGCATCGCCGGCTGTAATGATAACTACTGTCAGATTAGTGCTCCGACCTCATTGTTGGTAGGAGTGAACGAAGCAAGCGTCTTACCGGATTCAGCTGGATTATCGTGAGTATTAGTCCGTGCTCCCAGTACAGTTGCTATAAACAGTGCTTTTGGTAGCAGATACATTGTGGGTAATTCTTCCTTTAAAAATATTTTATGCGGAGGTATGAGCGAGATATGGTGCTCTTTCTCCTGGGGACGTCGGGCCTATTTAAAAGGCTATATAACTGTCTTTCAGGGTTTAAGGGGAAAGAAGCCGTCTCTGGCTCGGTACGAATGGACCATAGAACACGAATACGATGAAAGATCAAATCTAGAAATCTTAACATGGATCACTGCCTCCACGTCATTGTCATGCTGCTGGGGGCCGAGGACTGTGACCCACGTCCGGTCTTTTACATCTACATACATTAATTTAACATAAAAATACGCTTGGATGCTTGCATTGAGATCAAGTCGCCATTTAGGGAGTCGTCTCGCTTGGGTTCGTCTTTTCTTCCTGGTAAGGTCCCAGCTCGCTTGTGTAGCAGATTCCATAGATCACCGTCGCGACGAACATAGATACGGAATCAAAAACTTATAGTGTCCATTCATTGCTCAGAGGGTATCCTTCATATCCCATATAGCCTACTGAATGACTAGGAAGACCGATCGGAGTAGAATGAGACCGCTGATAGTGTAGAGGCTGTAGAGATGCTGCTTCCATGGATTGGTGCGATCAAGTGTCTCTAGGGTTGGATTGCGACGCATATGCTTTTGGAAGACACATGCAGTGATAAAGAGACCGGACGTCAACCATTGGAGAGCTAAGCCAGCAATCACTATGTCCTGTGAGACTGTCACTAACTATAATCCGCGAAGCGCCTGCCTGGACCAAAAATGTCAAGATGTCGTGTAACACTAAAGTCCCCGTCACCCAATCTATTCCGATAACAGACGATCTCTCATCTCCCACGCAGCGGATAATGCGCGCAAGGGCCATGTAGACCGATGCCGCAAACAGCGCTGGCGCAAGTGATGACTGCCTGGATGCAGTAAGGTATCAACTTGCCAGTATCTTGTGGCAATTGATGCGAGCCGCATTTCCGATGATTTCAACTACAGCGAGAATCTCACACGATAGCAGCCAGGCAGCACTAGGAAGTATCACAAAGTCGGGGCCCCACAGATGCCACCAATAGCAAAGGGAAGTGTAAATCGTTCTCGCGTCCGAACGATCTTCCAGAAACGCAAAAGCGTAGCGGCCAAAAAAGAGCTGGGAAATGATTGCAGGGGCTGTGGAAGGCACATACTGCCAAACATAGTAGCCACTCTTTAGGGGTCCAATTCGGCCATCTTCAAGTTGTTAGCCTACTTTCTGGAGTTCTCTTTGACTGGCAAGGAGGTTTAATGGGGAGTTTCATCCCTCTTACTTCTCTGTGTTGGTGCTATACCTGAGTCCGAAGTACAGAAACAAGACGCCACATTCTGGAGACAAGTCGAATAATCAAATCCGAGCGACCAATTATAGCGGGCAGGGTACGCGTATTTGCACGGTGACAATTGGCCTAACGGGACGCAATCAAGTTGGATCCAGAGTAATTAGGAGGTAAAGATTAAGCTTTAACCTATCTAATACTATTAATTTAATATGATTACCTATCTAGATGCAGGAATCCGACGGTATAAAATCTCGCTAGTCAGACGATAGGTTAGAAAGAATTATACCTTCCAAACTTTCTCATTAGTAGGCAAATTACTAGTTTTAGCCAAATCTCATACAGTTCTATGCTTTCCAACAAAGTGGCATAGGCGCACATACAGCATATAAGTGCGGTATCATGATTCATGACATGGAACCGAATACGCGGGACCTGCCAGCTCTTAATTCGCCAAAGCTCCTTTCTAAATAGGCCGTGAAATATCCTTAAATTCAGTTCCAGACTTGAGCTCTTTCACTCCCTGCTTCCCCACCAGTACGCTAAGAGGTGCACATTGTCGGGTCTGCTCTGTGAAGCTCTTTCGTTCATCAAAGAAAAACTGAGCAGAATTTGAGACGCCTGCTTTCTCATTGCGCAGCACACTGAAAGCCTGCATCATCCATGGAAGAGCAACCACCAAGATATTCGGTCCTTGAAGCCGCTGGGTGGCCTTCAGGGGGCGCAGACGTTAGAGGTAGCATCTCAACCCCTCGCCCCGATCGCATGCTGCCAATTAGCTAACAGAGGTAGATGATGGCCGTATCGAAGTCGACTTCGACTCTAAACTTTGCAGAACCCTCTCAGGCTGGTTCCTGTCTCGCGCGAGGAACGTGCCTTTCCACCACAGCCCCACTATCTTGGAAGTACCACCTGCGACCTTCAACTGAATATCGTCATTCAAGCGGTCGGCAGTCGTGGTGATGTCCAGCCCTTCATTGCGCTCGGAACGAGCTTCAGCTTCGTAGTCACGGTGTCCGACTGGCTACGCATGGTGTATTTGAGGACTTTGTGGGCAAATCAGGCCTAGAATTCTATTCAATTGGCGGCGACCCCTCAGAACTAATGGCATATATGGTCAAAAACCCAGGCCTGATACCGAAGATGAAAAGTCTCCAAAACGGAGATATTTCAGAGAAAGCGAGCTATGGTAGCTGAGATGCTCCACGGCTGCTGGAATTCGTGTATTGATGATGACCCTGTATCCGGGGCTCCATTTGTCGCCGATGCCATAATCGCCAATCCGCCGAGTTTCGCCCACATTCACTGTGCCCAGGCCCCGTCGATTCCGCTACATCTTATGTTCACCTTGCCCTGGAGCGGTAACCGGGCCTTTCCGCACCCACTGGCGAATATAAATATTCAACCACTGAGCCGAAAACCGCCAATTATGTTCCCTATGCAATTGTGGAGTGGATGATGTGGCAAGGGTATGACAGGCAATCTTCTCTGAATATTAGATACTGACCCAATCCAGTCTCGGCGATCTAATCAACGACTGGAGAGCTTCCCTGGATCTGGAGCCTATACCAGCCACGGAAGGGCCCTACCTAGTAGAGACCCTCAAGATACCATTTACATACTGCTGGCCTCCGTCGCTACTGCCAAAGCCACAAGACTGGGCAGCTCATATCGACGTGTGCGGGTTTTCTTTCCGCGCTCTGCCAGAGTACACTCCACCTCCTGAGAAGTGGAGAAAGAATCTTAGCGATCTGTGCCAATTTTTAATACGAAAAAATGATATTAGGAAGTTTAATAATCGACTGAGTGCAATGTGGAGGTGAAGATATGACTATGTATCATTTTTGTTTGCCTTTTCACAGTCAGTTACGGCTGATAATAGCGAGGGAGGCACGAATCATTTCGCCAGGAGGAAGATCTTCATTAGCCCAGTTCAATCTATTTCTCATTATTCTTCTCATCGAAGCAGACACAGAGGGCAGCAATCAGTGCCAGGTCAACCCCAGGTGCTACTGAAACAGCATAGGTCTGCTGGTCGAAGAATACCTCACGACCTCGCCATAGCTTGCGATTGATCTGGGCCACTACCGCACCCGTGGCTTCATCAACAATGTCAACCTTAGTATCCAACCAGTTACCCTTCATTTTCAATGTTTCTGCGCTGCCAGTCCTGGGCGACGTAAATGTCGCAATTGTTTTAGAGCCCACCACTGTACACGTACCAGTTAGCAATGACACTAAAGAGACCAAAGTTTCGCATACATGAAAAGCTGCTTTTGACTTCGAGTAGTTTCTTTCCATGGGGATCCTCGGCCGCGAAAGTAGTATGGATATGCAGATGTTCCTTAACAATATCAAACAGATGATTACCCGCCATATCAAAGACAGACTTGCGACCAGAGAGGCTCATATGCTTGGCTTTAATCTGGAATATGGGCTGGCCATTTGCAAGTTTTACGTCGAAACTATCCCCAGAGATGGATAAGACCTTCTCCTTCAGAGCTAAGGTCTCAGTCTGTTGAGCAACGAATTGGTCAAATACAGCAACTGGTTTAGGGACGGGAGAGAGCTGCTGCGAAGCCATTCTGATTTCAGACTCTTATTTTGATCTTGGAAAATAAGTTGAGTTCTAGGATAACAGGCAATCATGGATGAGTGGATTTGGGGCCTGATTTGTCCTTATATTTCCCGCGAACAGAGACAGGGATTAGTTTGGACTAAAAGCACTGCTACACTAGCAGTGGCTGTGTGTAAACCATCAAACCACTAAGCTAAAAAGGTGTCTAGACCTCTATTTCCAGTATAGTAGAAATGATAGTGCATATTCTGGTTAACACTGTGTTACCGCATTTGTGATGACGCAGATTAAGTTGGATGCCAAGGCCCACGGCCCTTGATTGTTTAATGTACCGCTTACCTCTTTGGGGCATTTTCATCTCATTGTCTCACAGTCTCACTTTCGTGATTTTAATGGTCTTATTGGAAGATTCTCTTAGGCCTTGGTGCAATACGAGGTTGCCACACTCTTCAGCTCCCTTGATCTGGATCCGCAGTGGATCTCGGTTGATGCATTGCATGGCCAACAGAAGCTTGCCTTGGAGCAACAGGTACGGCAAGCCATTGGAACAAAACTAAAATAACATATTTAGAATTTCAGAGTATGTGGACTACTAGTAATTCTACCTACAGGAACGGTACTTAACTATAGGCTTAGGAGTGGAATGTCAATCTTTATCGGCTCCTAGAGAAGCATGTGGGAGATATATAGTGTTTATGTATTTATCTCCACTTCTAAGCCATAGTGGCCGATTGGCTCGCAACAGACAAAGCAGGCAGGGCACCAAAACGCAATACTCCGTAGCCAATATCACTATCAATCAACGACACGGTACCCTCTGTCTCACCCATTTCACCTTGAGTGGCCCTTGATTGTACGGCGATAATGGTGGCGGCTTTACAGGTCAATTCAACATATGGGATGAATATGGCAATAGTGGGAATTTCAAAGCTGGCCATAAAGACTCTTATAACCTTACTATCATGTCCGCCGACAATTCTTTATTAGACGAAAAGTTCTCGCCCGCTGAGAAATGCACTCTCATCAGTCCAGAAGAGGCTGCTTCCCTTAAACCTGGAATTTGAGAATAATTATGTTAATGCTACATATGTTTCTTCTGTCCATCTGTCAATTTTCGGATTCGAATCCGATCACTAATGGATATATCCCGTTGAGAACCCTTCTCCACGTATCACCGCTTATAAAGTTAGGTCTCATAGATATGTATAGGAGATAGAAGGAAAGTGAAACTAACAGTTACTAACGCATGAACCTGGAGTGTTGTATTAGCTAATTAATGTAACCAAGCTTCTTGAGAGCAATATACCACATTATTAGTATTAATACAGCGCCAGGTCCGTAAGCCTAAGCTATAGGTATCCCAGCCATGACCAAGGCCACACCCTTAGGACTGAGGATGTCCTTAAGACTGAGGCAAGAATACACTAACTTATCCAATTTACCCTTATCATAAGTAATAACATCTTAGACTACTCTTATTCTTATAGAACACTCTTAGTTCTTTACATACTATATCTCCATTCTTCTTTAAGTATTCCTGCGGCCCTGTCACATCCACCTTGCACTAATGCGGCTGTGTTGGTGTCGTACAGTCATCTACTTCCATGTTGGGTTATTTGCCTTCCATGCCCTCTGGCTGAGCACCGGCTGGCTGACGTATCTGGCGGAGGCCACGGAGCCAGCATTGCTTGGGCTGAGCGTCCCCAGCAGCGTGGGGTCATGGCTGCAATGTGTACCGATCGTACTCGCATCTAGATTTCCTGATGCAGCAACCGGGCCGTGCCAGAGATGGCCCCTTTCTTGGCAGGTTATCCACCCGCTCCACTACGTCCTATCGGCTCGTTTTCGTATAGATCGATACCAGTCCCAGCAATCTAGCCAACTCAGGCCCTGGAACCTCTCACGCAGCCATATATAAAATCATACAGCATCTCTAGCATTAATTGTAACTTTGAAGTCTTTTCATTCTTCAGAACAAAGCGACTTGGGCATCATGTATCGTTCTGTGGCCCTTATTCTGGCGGTCTGCGGCATAACCAATGCCCTTGGCTGCAAATGTGTAAGCCTAAGAAGCGACAGTCCGCACCTCTATCAATGATAGACTAACATAGCTATTACGATCATCATTCTCTGCAGTCTCCTTCTGATGCGTGCTGGCCGGCAGACAGTAATTGGGCCTCTCTTAATCACACTGTGCGCGGAAGGTTGATTCGAACTGTCCCGGCAGCAGCCGTCTGCTACCCCAATGAGCCCAACTATAATCCATCAGAGTGCACAACGGTACTGGCCAACTGGACCAAATCGAGCTTCCACTCAGCAGATCCGGTCAGCGTCGATGATCCGGTCTGGTCCCACAACAGCTGCAACCCGATCTATCCGAATGGAACAAGCATCACGGGCAACGTGCATGCAGGCCTGCAGGGCTGCACCATTGGCAACTACCCGGTCTATGTCATCAATGCCACTGAAGCCGAACACATTCAGGCTGGGATTCTATTCGCGAAGCAGTGGAATCTGCGACTGAACATCAAAAACACTGGCCACGGGTCCGATCGCAGCATCAATCAAGGAAGCTTGTCGTAAGTTTTGCGTACTTCTGTTTTCGCAGTCCCTTGCCATTGTTCAACACAAAAGGTCCTGGTGTCTATCTCTCTCTCTCTCTCTCTGACTGGTAACAAGGATTTGGACCCATCATATGAAGGAAATTCAGTTCCATGAAAACTTCCAGCTTCACCAGTGCAGGAAGCTCGAGTCAGGGGGAAATATTACCACAATGGCTGCGACTCTCGGTGCAGGAGTGCAGGACGGAGAGATGTTTGCAGCACTTGCCAAGCACAATGCCATGGCCGTTGGCGGGACAAACATGGTATGACCTCTCCGCGCGATCAGCTTGCCCTGCTGAAAGAGGGAAGGAATGGTTGAGTGTGGTGGCAAGTTGCTGACGCGAGAAATTCAGGACGTTGGCGTTGTGGGATGGGCAACCGGTGGTGGCCACGGGCTGGCCACGGGCATGTACGGGATGGGCGCAGATAACATCATCGAAGCCAAGATTGTCACGCCGGCAGGAAATATTGTCACCGCAAACGCCTGCCAACATGAGGATCTCTTCTGGGCCATCCGGGGCGGGGGCGGCGGCACTTATGGGGTGATTGTCTCGGTGACCGTCCAAGCTCACCCCATGCCCATGCTAACTATGATCAAACTCATGCTATCTGCCAGGAATAGAACTACCGAGCATGAGTGGTACCGACTCGTTGCTAAGGCCCACCGCTATTTGGCCGACCTCCAAGACAACGGAATCCACGGCTACTACACCCTAAGCAGCTCTCCACTGGCAATGGACGGTGCACTGCTGTTGTACAATGCGAAGAACGGAACCGCGGACAAGCTTCTCCGTCCCTTTCAGAACTTCTTGAAGAACCATGAAACTATCGTCACCGCTGCAGTGGAGCCCATTAATACCTTGCCGTTGTACGACATTGTGCAAACCATGCCATCCATTGAGTCTGTCGGCAAGACGGAAGTGGCCAAGGCGTCCCGGTTCATTCCACAACGGGCGTTCGAAGAAAATGTTGAACGTCTTGCTGACACCTTGGAGCTCATCATGTCTCGGCAGGATTCTCCCGATGTAAGAACCAACCACCAAACGCCCTAACCCCACCTGACCCATCCCCTGCTGCTTTTACCTTGAACGTCGTTGGGCCCTGGCTCGACGTGTTGGCCTCGCAAATGTTGATCTAATGCTATGTTTGTTGCAGGGCGTATCCTCTCCCTCTATCTCTGGCACTATGACCGGGAGTAAGGTCGCCGTCGATAATGCCTTGAACCCAGCCTGGAGGGATTCAGTGGTGCACCTAATCGTCTCCCAAAGATGGAATGAATCTCTCCCAATGGCCCTGCGTGAACAGGCCGTGCATAACATGACGTATGGAAAGGGGTATGCCCTTCGGCAGCTGGCTCCTGACACGGGTTGCTACGTCAATGAGGTAAAGCAGTGGCCCTTTTCCTTTCTTTCATTCGGACAGCAGTCTTCATTATTTGTTCCACGGTTGCTAACAGCACTCTGACCAAGGCCAACCCATTCGAACCAAACTGGCAATGGTCGCTTTTTGGGTCTCACTACCCCAGACTTCGTGCAATCAAGAGCAGCTATGATCCCGAGGGTCTGCTTTGGTGTCGTCACTGTGTTGGTAGTGAGGCGTGGGCCGAGAAGGACGGAAGACTGTGCCCTGTGTTCTGACGTTGGATCAGTTAAACAAGTTGTAGTAGAAGGTGGTATGAAGCAACAAGTAGTGTTGTATAAACATTCGTCACTGTACATCTCAGCATCCACATGGTAAGGATGAATCCTTGGCAGATAATCAAATGATCGAGCAATCTTCCTAGCCGGCTGTTATAGGCACAGACCATCAATTTTTCTTTGATTTAGCTAAACTCCGAAAACGTTACTCGGCGCTATGCCAATTCCTTCACAACTGTGAAGTCATAACTTCCGAAATATAACCCAGATTCACTCCTCAATGGCAGTAATGAGGGACTTATACCCTTTCAAGCACTCACCTCCTAAAACGCTACCTCTGCTTCCTCGAACATGACTGCAATGGTATCTTTTCTTTCATACACACGCTGCCGGAAGAGAACAGAAGAACTGCAAGTTGATTGTCTGCGCTAACATAGCGGAAACTCGCTTGACTGTTACTCTTTTGAACAAGCGCCATACTACGGAACTTGGTTCACTTTGGTCCATACCACCCTGCACATACGTGCCACCGTTCCGGAAGTATTCCCTTGGAGTTATTCCAGCATCTGACTCCGCCTCGACTCCGCACCTCTGCAACAGCATTAAGCAAACGCCATCCATCCTATGGGTGTAGCAACCTACTTTATCTGGCTCAGCCGCTCTTCCCCGGCTTCGGAACATTTCCTTACTTTGTTAGAAACCGATTTTCCTCGCTAACTTGCGTACAATCAACCAACTTTACAAGACCGGCTGAAGAGTCGCAAAGAATAGTATATAGTCTATCTCGAGAAGAAGTAATATTTAGTATGTCTGACTGTAAGCTGTGCAAATTTTCTACACATAACTACGGAGCCCTAGTCTCATTATGATCAGAGCTGTGTCGCCAACTTGTCTGAAATGCCCTACTTTCCGCGCGGGAAAGTGCGCAGGAACAGTCAAGCGGCTCGTGGCAACTGAAGCGTCGCCAATTACTTGCGAAGACAAAGAGGAGGGCGATATTTCCTCCGTGTTCTCAGCTTTCTCTGGACGAAAGATTCCTCCACTACCTGAGCGTTTCCGCGATTTATAGCGCAACCTGACCACCGGAATTTGAAGAGCAGATTCAGAAGTCGTGGGATGAGCTTGTTGAGGTTCTGGAAAGTATGGACTGAAGAAGTCGCGACTAAGCGCGAGGCTGTATGTTCATTGCATCTTTTCAGCTGGGAAACAGCCATATACTAAAAGGAGTAGAACATTCCTGAATTGATATTCTCTGGCATTCAGCTGAAACTGTCTTTCCGGCAGATGTTGCTGCCATCCGACATACCGGTTGCCGTCATCAGAGGCGTTGTGGGCAAAGATGTCGCTGAAGGGCTTCTCTCTGATGCACGCCAATACCTGGCTTCCCGGCCATTCAAAGGCTTCCGGTCTGATTTGGACAAGAGGGTAAGTATTGGGTTTTAATACTCGATATGAAGCTCACATTGAATTAGGTTGTCTACGAATTATATTGGAGTCCTTCTCAAGTGAAGCGAGATCACACCCCAATATGCTTGCCACGCAATCATAGATGAATCAGCTGTATACTGCTGATCCTGATTAATAAAGTAATCGACAATGCCATACGGAAACCTACCGTCAGCTGTGAGGAATGTAGTTCTCAAACCGGTGTCCTCAACTCTAGCCGGTCATGTCCTCTTCGCGCTGAGCGTTGCCTTTAAATACAGGCAAAGTACGGAGTATAGGTGAGGAGGTCCAACATAACTATGTTCTGCTCAGATTGAGCCCCTTTCCTTCTCCCCGAATAGACATGGCCCTTTAGAAGAACCGTAAAATGAGCCCTAAATCAGCCATCCGCTCCTTCTATGAGAGGTACAAAGGCAAGACTAATAAGTCCAAAGGATCTAGTGAACAGTTTCGGTGCATCCTCTTCTGTGGATTATAGGTAGCTCAAACCGATTCATAAACTTTTCATTGTCTAACTGCACAATCTGTCCACGGATGTAGTCGTATAGGGCCGTATCTTCCTGCAGGAGGGGGGATGGTACCAATCATGGGGCGAGAAGGAGCTTCGACCCTCAGCGGCCGCCAAAATCTATCATGGCAATGCCAAATAACCTCTCCAAGACTCGTCACATGGTAGCGTTCACTGTTTTCCCAATGGCATTGTTATTGTCGGAACATACGGACGTTCCCTTCCGCCGAGGTTCGACTTCACTTAGTCATTGTTTAGTAAGCTAGAGATCTTTGAGTAGTTAAATGAAGATCGCTTCTCTCGGTCGTCAACAGAGTGGAGCTCGGTGAAAGTATTTATCCGTTGAATGTAGATTGGCTGCTGGCTGATTTTCATACTCCGCGGGCCTCAGTTGTACACCTTCAGTTCTTTCCAATGAGACTTGTTTGTTATATTCGCCTATCAAGCCTCTGCTTGAGCGCGATTTGTACCGACAGATACCACTGATGTTGGTGTGGTAAGTAGAACACATTCAGGCTACTCCGTAAAAACCCGCCTTTGACTGACCCATAACATATCGGTCCACTTACGCATCCCGTGTTGCCGAGTTATCGCACCTTCTCCACATTCAAATTCTGATCTCATTGTCCACCAGTAAAGATAGCGGAGTGTCCAAGACACCAGTTAAAGCAGTCCTCGATAAAACACATTTGGTAACTCTTTCTCAAAAGAGGGACTGCAAATATTTGCATAAATAACTCCATAGAAAAGAAGAATTTATCATCTATACCCACCAAGTCTGCCCTTTAATTTCCCTTTTTCTCAAGGTCATCGACTGCTTCGTCACTTCGTGTGTGGTATTCAGTTCAAACAGGGGATTCTGTCCAAGTACATCTCGCAATACATCTTGCATATTCTCTGTGTACTCACTGTCCCACAAAAAGAAATTGCAAAATTTGCCCGATACCCCCAGTTCGTTCTTCAAGCGGGGAGAAGTTCTCAAGCCGTCAGATAAGCTGACACAGCGAATAAGCATACAGTGAAACCCAGGGCAAACTCTCCCAGAAAATCAACAGTAATGTCGTCTCATGAGGACAACTAAGTAGTAGAAGGGACTAAGGGCCCTTACTGTGCATCCAGAAGTTACTCTAGTCAGGCCAAGATGGACAACTAGAAGATTGCAGAGTACCAAGCACGGCCGCCTATGGGACTCGGAAGGCATGAAGTCAAAGCAATAGAATCCTATTCCGAAGGAGGGGGCCAAGAGCCACGCCTCTACTGCAATGTCAAGCGTTTTCGTTCCAGTCAACCGTTCTATGAGCCTGCCGAGCACACTAAGAAAGGTCAGCGATAGGCTGTGACGTAATTTCTGGCTCTGTTACCCCGACAAATCTAGTTAAGGAAGGATAACCCAAATCCCCCGAGGTGATCGGCAACGTTTAGGTAAGCCAAGATGACCGGGCCGGTGGTCCCCTGGTACAGTGCAACGTGCTAATGGTCAGCCCCAGATGCGAAGAGCCCCGCTGTGACCTTTGTGGCGCGAACCAACCTGTTAGCGTGGCGGGTGGCTCACTTGCCACAAAGAGAAAATTAAGCGAAATTACCCCAGCTGGTGAGCCATGTGTTTCGCCACAAAGTATATGGATGTCATAGGCCCGAAGATTGGTAAATAGCGGGGCACATTCTGCTAGCGCTGACTTGAAAACTTGGGAAAAAAGCCTTTTGACGTCATACTGGGGCGACGAGACCTTGGCGGCTCCAGGTATGCATAATATGTATATACCATGTGCCAAAGGGAAGAGTACGTGATGCTCCAGGTGCCAGCACAGGAAACGAGAACGAGAATGAAAGATGGATGAAAGATCTAAATGGATCTGTAGACCCCCAGGAAAACAAGCATGCGCTCCAGCGAGCAAAACCCTAGGAAGTCCTAAAGCCGAAAGGGGGATGGGCTCTCATGAATCCATCACTACGGAGAGGAAAGGGCGGTAGAATGTTAAGTAGTGATCCAGCTATATGCTGCATCTATAGTGGACACTGGAAATCAGGCCTTGTGGCCTCAAGAGTAGTCATCTACGCCCTGACCAGTCGACCTCAAAGTACGGAGGTGTGCACCGAAAAAGTTCTCACACTGATCAGCGTGTAATCACGTGACTCTGAGCCAATAGAGTATTGCGATCATCATCGTTGAAAAAAATGATTGGAACATTATCACGTGATAATACCCCACTTGGCGTGGGGCTCGCCGTACCAAGTGGTTTCGCAAAGTGCCAAGAGAGTGGGTCTCCTTGGCATATCTCCACCACGGGAACTTCGCTGGACCTTCCTGTTTGGGGTCCGACGAAAGTTGCAGTAGAAGTCCGCATTGTTATAAAAGACCGCGAATATTTCTGCTCCCACGTACACATTCCTTCCTTACTACTTTTTCCCCAGCTTTCCTTTAACCCCACTCCACCCCGCAAACTGTTGACGGCCCTTACTTCGTTCCTACCATCAACATGTGGACGACTACCAGCGGCTTGAGTGGTCGGTCGCTCCGGTTGAGCATCACCTTCGCCGCTGTCGTGGGTTTCTCGCTCTTTGGCTACAATCAGGGCATGATGGCCGGCCTCCTTAACGGCGACGAGTTTGTTAACTCCTTCCCAATCCTCAAAATGCCCGACAATCCGACTGCGGGGCAGAAACACTACATCGACGTCATCCGCGGTGCTGTTACATCCTGCTATGAGCTTGGCTGTTTCTTCGGCGCGTTATTCTCCATGTTCTACGGCAATAGACTCGGCCGCACCCGCCTGATCTTCATGGGTGCCAGTGTCCTGATCATTGGCGCCTTGCTTACAACGGTCTGCTTCACTGGTAAATGGGAAGTTGGTCAGTTTGTTATTGGCCGTGTTGTATCGGGCATTGGAAATGGCATGAACACGGCCACGATCCCGGTCTGGCAATCAGAATGCTCCGGCGCTCACAATCGCGGCTTCCTTGTCTGTTTTGAGGGCGCGATGATCGCCGGTGGCACGTTCATTGCCTACTGGGTGGTCTTCGGTATTTCGCACGCCGCGGATTCCGT